GTTTTAAAGCGGGCTGTCCATGCTCGGAAACCATCAAACCTGACTGAACTGGAGATGTTTTGTAAAGAAGAATGGTCAAAAATACCTTCAACCAGAATCCAGACCCTCATTGGAAGCTATAGGAAGCGTTTAGAGGCTGTTATTTCTGCAAAAGGAGGATCTACTAAATATTGATGTAATTTTTCTGTTGGGGTGCCCAAATGTATGCACCTGCCTACTTTTGTTAGTAATTATTGCATAGTTTCTGTAAATCCTATAAACTTCATTTCACTTCTTAAATATCACTAGAATATGACATGATCATGTGACAGGTGTTCTTTGTGTTTTTGTCTTGTCAAAGTGATAGGATGTGACCACATGACAAGTTGTGATTAGAATACAACATCAGACCTACGTGACAAGGCGTAAAGTTACAACCATGTGAAAAGTTGCAATTGTAGGAAAAGTGACCTGACAAGGAAACAAGACGCTTCATGAGGTGTCACTTCGAACATGTAAGACAACTCCACCTCATCATGCATGTAATCAAGACTTGTCAAATTATCACAGCTCCTCATATTATAACTATGAGTAACTAAGAGCTCATGGTTTTACATTTTGTGTGACTTCAAATGAGTACAACTTGTCACATTATTAAAAATGTGTCTCAAAATACAAATTGTCATGTAATTACAACTCCTACTACATCACATCATCATATTATCAATGCATCACATGATAATGGCACCATGGCTTATCATGACACTTGTATTGAGTGGTCAACACATGACAGATCACGATTGACATGTTGTGACAGGTTGTGGTCATGTGGCACCTTGTCACCATTTCATAAAGCATCATTTAAGCTGTCAAACTATTGTTGTTAAATCAGTGTGTTTGTTTGTTTGCGTGTGTACAGTACTTTATATGCTACTTTATATGTGTGTATAAACAACATACGTGTGTAGGTGTAAAACCACACGCACACACATCATTATATACGGCAGACGTGTTGCAAAAAAAGTATAAACAACATCCATCTCTGCCCCTTTACTCTATAAACTAGGAAGGAAGCACTGTCTGTGTTAAAGGCACAGTTCAACATTTTCAGAAACATGACACTGCTCCAGCAGCTGGAGGACATATGTAAATATTGTGTATATTATGTCCTAGTAATAAGGGGGAAATCATTACGTGATTAATCATACACAATAACAACATAGGATGGGCTCTGCTCCTCAAATCAATTAGAAGCTAACATCTTTAGCTTGACAAAACTGACCTAGTTTACAGACAAAAATAGCTTAGCATTAGCTAGGAAAGTAGCTAACATATGGTTAGCAGGACAGTAGTTATCTTAGCATCAGAGCCTAATTGCTTTTACTTGGATCAAAGCTGACACAGTAGTTAGTTACAGTAGAGTTGTTAGGTTAGCATTAGCTAATGGAGAGTTATCAGGAAAGTCACCATTTGCTGGGAGGTTAGTTTTGCTATTGTAATCTTTGAACTAAGACAATGTATGCCGAATTTTGGAAAAACAACGATGACACAAAGTTGATTTTTTTTTTACCTTTTTTTTAAAAAAAAGGAACGTTTCTCAAATGTTGAACTGTTGCTTTAAAACCTAAAATGTTTTTTTAACAACTGCTAATAACAACTGTTTGTTCATGCTGATGATCCTTCCCAGAGCTTTTATATTATTAGCTCAGTGTTAAATATTTTGTTTTTTTATATTTACAGTACATTAGATCAGTGTTTTCATGCTGACAGTTGCCTGTCACTGACGTTAAACTACAAAGCTGTGAGTTTCTTGCAAATAAAGCCACAAAACATGCTGTAAGGTAAAACTTTACATTGTTAAAGAGAGAAATGATCTGAGACTCACTATTATCTTTTCATCGACTCATTTCTGATAAGTGTCCCAAATTGTTCTTCTGACATTCTGTGACAGACATTTGGTGATATTCCAAGTGCACCACACATCTAACCCTCAAACATGTTCTGTGTCCAACATGTTGGAAACTCTGTGTCTGATGTGTGTTTTATTTACCTGACACAAACTGCTACGTATTCAACATTTTGCTTGTCATCACTGGCTATGTCCGAAACCGCTGCCTACACCCTACATAGTGCACATACGGAACATGCCATTTAGTAGTGGTTTCCAAATGTTTAGTGGATAGCAATACATCCATCATGCTTTGCATTTGTGACGACAGACAAATGACTGCTGTAAATGAAACAATTGCTGAATAAATGTTTTTGTGTCACTTTACAAAATATTTAGATTATGTAAGGCAAAACTATCGATAGACAGTTTTCAAATAAGAAAAACAGTACATGTGCTCTAGAAGCCTGGGGTAATGAATACCTGGGTCAGACATGTAGTGCATGTCGAATATTCAGTAGACAATCACTAATCCATGTTCAAGATAAGGTGCTAGCCCACTAACCCCTAAATCTCCAACATCTTCCTTCATTTAAGTCTTATGAGGTTTCCATCCATCCATCCATCCATTTTCATCCGCTTATCCGTTACCGGGTCGCGGGGGCAGCAGTCGCCACCCAAATCACATTGCACCGTACCAAACCTTCCTGCGGGTGGTGAGTCCACTGGAAGGTACCAACCGCCCTAACCGGGATTCGAACTTGCCCAGGAGGTGAACCCTGGGGTTCCACACCAATGACAGAGACATTGCCTCTGGGCCAAAGCGCCACATGTTGTTGTTGTTTTTTGTTTTTTTTTTAAGTGAGCTTTACAGCAGAGTAGTATACCTATTATGTATTATTATTATATATGTAGATATATATTATCTATACGTACCATACTTGTTTCCATTTTTTAAAACATGTGTTGCACAAAGAGCCCAGAGTAGTGTCTTCTTCTTTCTCTGCATTTAGAAACAATGGATCTTTTGGGTTGCCTTTTAACTTTGGCTCTGATGTTACAATCAGTGGATTACAGAGGCATCATTCATCATCAATTACAGCTCCTTGTGGTTGGCATATATACACACAATGCTTTTTTGTATTACATACTGTTGCATTGATGTTGCCAGTAAATAGGTGTTACTTGGCTGATAAAATAGTTTGACATGCATTGTTGAAAACTGCTGAGAATTCCTATTGAACAGGCGCGGTAAGATGACTATAGTGCTTTAACGATTTAGTTGCTTTGTCACTGCACCTCATCTGACCAATGACTGTATGAAAAAACTGGACAAAACCATCTACAGCTGTCAGTGACTGGTTTCAGAAGTGACACCATGTTTATATAGGGCTATTTAAAGTGACTACTTCTAACTATTTAACTGTTTTGCTTTGACTGAGACCACAGGGTCATCAGGAAAATGTTTACCGATATTAGAAATTCACAGTGGTTCAAGTAAGATTATATTTTTTATTGACCTGTGGCGTTCCTTCCCACGTTTCTCTGCAACCATCACCTGTAATAGAAATACAGGCAATGGAGATAGCTTTGTTTATGCCTTATATACAGCCAATGTCTGTGACTCAATAACTGAGACTCAGCAGTGATGCTGCTAAAACAACTGCACAGAAATGCTGACTAAAATAACACATTTTCAAAATATTCATACCATTGGTGAATATATTTTTACAACCCTGTCTCCTGGTGCTCACAGACTTGTAGTCTGTTAAATAAAAAGTAGTCTGGTGCCTATGTGATGTCCTGTCATGTCCAGGTCAGGTCCTCCAAGTCATCTTTCGCACACAAACACACATACACTGTCGTACACACTCATGCAGACAGACAGACAGACTGACTGCCAAACTGCCAGTTCCTGATTCAGTCTGTAGGGGGTAGCAGGCCTCTCTCTTTGAGCTGACTATGCAGAGTGAAGAAGATACTGAGCTGCTGCTCAGGCTGAAGCATCAGCAGCTGCTGCAGGACTTTACTGGGATTTGGACCTCTGCAAAAGCAAGCACACAACAAGTTGTTGATTTGTCCATTTTTGTTAGCTGATCCCTGATTATTGGTATGTGGGCTCACCTGATGAAACTAGCAATGTAAACATGAACAAACGTGGCCATCAGGTACTGACAGTCGAAACGGTCCATGATGCCACCATGTCCCGGGATCGTGCTTGCAAAGTCCTGATAAAGAAGGAGAGAGAAAAACATTAAGACTGGCATTCTATTGCGTTTCATTTGCAAATTTTCAAGCTAGCTAAAACAGTTGTATAAAGATTTGATGCCTATAACACAATTCTTGGCTTGGCATGGGCTACAGATGGGGAAAATACTTCCAATCACTACAAAGAAATAGTTAGCTTGCTGCTAGCTCTGGTAGCATAGTTAGCTTAAGGTAAGCTCTGAGATATTAAAAAGCCTCCTTCTAGTTCCAAAAGGTTATATTAACAATCATAATTATAATTGGCTTAGATATGCTTAACACTGGTTGCTGAAGGAATGTCTTTAAACAACAGTTACAATATGCTAGTTTTAGCTTTAAGGGTGGAAGCTAATTTAGCTTTAGCTTCTGAAAGTTAGGCAAGTCTTATTGGAAATGAAAAGAAAGAGAGTTACTTTGATTTTAAAAGCTCGTTTGAAGCCACTAGCAAAAAAGCCACCAAATGGTCCAATGAGGGAGGCGAAGCTGGAGAGGAAGATGCTGTGGATCTGAAAGGGATACAGCTTCACTGTTTTCTAAGAAAGGCAAAAAGAAAAATCATATACATATACAATGTAACTAAAATTGTATTATTAAAAAAAGACATCCTCAAATAATTAATAAACATTAGGTGAATATTCTTGACACTGGTTTATCTATGTTTTATTTATAATAAAACTAACAACATGCACAACCTGTTAACACGACAAATCAATTTATTTGTGGTCTACTTTTAATAAATTCTTGCATATTCTCTGCAAGTAAAGGCCCAACCAAGTCTGGATAGCTGTGGTGCACTGCTCATTTTAGAGCATATATACAACACGTTTATACACTGGTCAACCAAGAAATATTAAAATAGAGATCAGTGTTTATACCAGTACTGCATTGAAAAAAACTGTCTTTTTATTTCTAGTAAACAAGTATCACAAGTAACAAATTAATAAATACAATGTTGATAAAATTAGTCTTCACATGACTTCAAATGACTTGGTGAAGTGTGAACGCCTCATCTATCCGTACAGTACTCACTGGTGCCAGTCTCTGAACTAAAGGCAAGGAACTGAACATGACTACGATGACGAGTGCTCTTACCCATCCAAGTGTGTTCTGGATGACAGCAGGGAGTGTGTACATCTGTAAAATGAAGATTTCTGTGGTCTCACACTCAATCGTAAAGCCATTTGTTTCACTGTTGAAGCCGACAGGACAGACAAAGTACTGGAACTGAGAGAGCAGGTATGCCAGCTGCAAAAGGTCAGAGATAAGGGTCAGGCCTGTGATTTACATCAGGATGAGGAAATAAACATAAACATATGTCTCACCATGAAGCTGAATAAGACAGTGGAGAAGAAACCACCAATGAAACCTTCCCACGTCTTCTTAGGAGAAAGCTGCAAAGACAGGGTTTCAGAGCTCAGAAGTCATGTGACCTGATTATGGCTGATTATGTGAAAGAAATGTTGATTTACTTTGATGAGTGGGGTCCGGCCAAAGAAGAATCCAAACAGGTATGCCATTATGTCATTACAGATGACAATGGAGATCGGCACAATAAACCTGAACACATGAAGAAAACGTGTTGAGCATGGTGTGTTAGCATCACTGGAGTTTTTATGAGCTGTCACTAACCCTAGACAACACTGATAACACAAGATTTCAGCATACAGTCAAATGTTTTCTTTTTTTCAGTGAGATTTCAAGCACAAATCTTGAGGATTGACCCCAAATCATCTCAGATAGTTTCTTAGTGACAAGACATGTTACCTGACTCAAGACAGCACTTGACAACTTTAATTATTGCTTTAATGTATGTTAATGTCAAACTTTTCATATAAATACATACACACACACATTAATACACACACAAATCTTACCAGATCATTCCCTCAAATAGGTTCTGGATGACGAGGTGAGACTGAGTTACAACAATCAACAGAGTCACATGAGTCCAAGCAAACTGGAACAAACAAACAAAAACAATCACTGAAACATGTCACGCACTAGAATGATGTCACACCTGTGACATTGCCTACACACACATGCAGGGTGAATAAGAAAGGCCAGCTTATTAGCTACAGATGTTGGTAGTTATATCATTTGTGCAAACATATGCAACTTATTAAAAAAAACACACACACTTTACAATAAAAAAATGCAAAAAGCCACTCGCATGTGCTTAGCATGCCCAGTCAACAGAGGGCACTATAACTATGGTCAAGCCTATCAATCAGAACACAAACTTGTCAACTTTGAGAATAGCAACTTAGCTAAGACAATCCTCTGGGTTTTTTTTTGGGGGGGGGGGGGGTTTTTTTTTTTTTTGAAGGGGGCCTGCATTGCTCGCACTGTAGCTCCACAAGAGTAGTGAGTCAGCCATTAAATCCAGGGAAATAGTTAGAATTAACTTCACGGGGAAAGTTAGGCCTGAGGAGCTGTAGGTAGTTAGCCTAGCTTAATCTTTATGTAAGTGGATGCTTAGCATTATGTCCAGCAGACTAGTTTGTCTACCATTACCTACAGACAAGTCATTAGCATAGAATTAGAAAGTAGGTGGCATAGCATAGAGTCCAAGAGGTAAGTTAGTTAGCCTTGCAATAGCTACAAGGGACTAGTAAGCTTAGCATTAGAGCCAGGGGATATTAGCATTACATTAAGAAGAGTAATTGGCTTACTTTAACCTCCAAGAAAGTTTTTAGTTGAGGGTGAACTTACCTGGAAGATTCAGAGAAACAACAAAAAATGTTGAAACGTTAATGTAATTTGTTCATTATATCACAAATGTGGTGTTTGTGAAGACTGCACTGAATAAGATCTGTTTTTTAAATTGTGTAAGTGTGAGAACATTGGGCAGCTCTGGGCTTAGTGGTAAGAGGATCATGCTTTTAGTCAGAGGATTGCTGGTTTGAATTCCACTCCCAGCAAGGCTGTGGTATGTATTAAAACAAAAGACTCACCCACACCCTGGCTGCAGCACACTGGTCCTCTGTGTTCAGTGTTATTTACATATATACTGTATATATTTACAATATATAAAAAAATAAAAAATATTAATTCCTGAGTGAAAATGACAGTGAGTCACCACGTTTGGCTATTACTGGGCCATACCAAACTTTTCTGTTGGTTAATTGTTATCAATGTTAGGGGCAGTGTTGGATTAGTGGTTAAGGAAGGGGACTTGGGTTCAGGTTCAAGTCCACCAGCTGCCAAGTTACCACTAAGGTGCTCAGAGCATGGCACCATCCCCACACACTGCTCCCCGGGCGCTTAAAGCTGCCCACTGTTCACTTTGGTGATGGGTTAAAAGCAGAGGTCACATTTCGTTGTGTGAAGTGGTGTGCTGTGGTGTGCTGTGTCACAATGACAAGTAGTTCACTTTCCTTTTTTTTCCTTCCCTTTCCTAATACAAGGCTATTTCTGGTGAGGGACATGTCGACAATGACAATGAAAACAGTAATGTTGCTTGAAGAGGAGTGAAGAACAGTGAGGGAGTACAGTATTGAAAAAGAGGGAAAAAACGAAATAAAAATATAAGGTAAAGAAAGAAGGGGAGGAGTGTGGTTACTGTGGTTGATACACACCATATAAAACTGCAGGCGATAATGTTTCTTCACTAAACTCAGCACAAACATGCAGAAACCTGTAAAGAGACAACAACATGCAGTCACTGACACAACAGAGTACTGTATACACTGACAATACAAGTACACACAAACAATATACTCAACATATTAATTATGTTTACCACTGACTCAACACCAACAGCAATAAGAAAACACAAGGACATTAAATAAGATGGGGCGGGAGTCTGTGTGCGCGCGCACCAGCGTAATACATTTACTGACGCTTCATGATCGCTGTACAAGCTCAGGTAACAATGCTGCCCTCTGCTGGATATTTTAACAGCGACGTCTGGAGCCGCATATCCTTAACAGTGTCTAACCAAAAATTAAAATGTACTCTATGTTGACACAGTAACCACATGTATTAATAACAATTAAGGAGTACATTCGAACATTACATGCTTTAAGACCTGCATTTAAACTGTGCATTTTGTGAATTATCTAATGCTAAATATTTCCAACCAGATATGTGTCAACCAATTCTCTTAAAACTGAAAGAGAATATTGATAAAATGACTAGGAATAAATTTCATGTACTTTATTTTAGAGACTCATATTGATCCTTAATATAAAATTTCAATACTTTTTTTAGGTTGAGAAATTTTGGCTATGTTTATGTTAGAGTCCTGTAATTTGTCAAGCAGGAAAAATAATAATCAGCAAAAAAGCAATTTTTAATAAAACAACTTTTACATCACTATACAATTGACCACGTGGATCAATCTCTTGTAGGTTTTTTTCACTTTAGAATAATTATTTAACACATCTAACTTGTACTGTGAGGCACCAGTTAGTACATTTTAGAGTGATCTATTAGTTAGCATTAGCATGTGGGTCAGGTTGATGTTGAAGTAAAAATAAATAAAAAAGTAAATAAATTTGTACTATATTGATCCCATATTTGGGAAATTGTTGTGTTAGCAGCAGATATGCTGTTAACAGGCTGCCCCTAGGCTGCATGTGGTTCCTCTGGGAACCACATGCTTGGCAGACTCTGCTTTTGAGGCAGGCGTGCTAAACGCTACACTGTGACTGTTTGTGCTAAAGTTTTTGGTTACATTTTGGTTCATTTTTTGTTATTATTATTATTATTTGGTTTCATTCAGTTGCTTATGCTGTCATCTATTTTCCTGCAACTAATCTTGTTTTACCTACTGTTTCTCCATTTGTGCTATTTTGGCTAACTTTTATTCACTTCACATCTTTACACTAGCAGTTGTTTATGGTTTAATCTGGACTATATCTAATCTGTAATACTGCCAACGCACCATTTCTCTGGCATGCAATAGTCTGTAAAGACATCTTCTTCATGGCGGTTGTGTGACTAATGGAGGCCAAAGAAAGTGGCCACATTGTAACTCTACAGTGTAAATACCTCATGGGGTGACTGACATCAACTTAAAGAACACTTAATAACAGACACACAAAGATCAAGAAAAGCAGAATACATAGTTTCTCTGTTTAGGTATTTGTGTGTGTGTGTCTGTGTGTGTCTGTGTGTGTCTGTGTGTGCGTGTTTTATTCTGTCTGTGTCAGGTTCGAAGGTCACATGATCACCTGCCAGGTAGAGAGCAAAGGAGATGAAGCGATGATAACGAGACAGGAATTGCAGAGGCTCCTCCCTCTGAACTAAAGCTCCGAAGTAGTCAGCCAAGGTCTCGCCATAGAAGAAGTAGTTCACACAGACCAGGAAATACCTGAGGAAACACCTCAGTAAGCAGGTTAACAGCAGGTACAAGTCGTGTTGTAAATACAAAATACAAGTTGTGTACAAAACGTAGAAAAATCACATAGTTATTTTCAATGTAAAACTTTTTTACAAAAAACTTTGCTCTGTGCATTTAAACTAAAAGCAATCTTGTTAAGATATTGTAAATACATTTATTCAATCTTTACAAGATATTCATTGTATTAAGTTTCCATATCAGTTTATACTGTTTGTTTTTGAATGCTGTACTAAAAGGAGAAGTACTGAAGAAAGGTGTGCATCCTGATGGTTTACATAACAGGATGGTGTGTGGTACGGATGGCACTGACTGTTACGCTTGGAGATAGAGACAGGTCACAGAACTGGCCTGAACCAGTTTCTCTGCCCAAAATAATGAGGAAAACAGAACATCAAAAAGGAAAAGAATCCAAAGTGTATTTCTTTGATCTAACCTGAGTTACTGAGCAGAATAGCTCAGCACATGTACATGTTTTCTATTGGTGGAGAATCTTTGTTTGAAGCAGCCTTTGCCAATCAGTGCTTTGAAGTTGCGCGTGACCACCACATGGCTGTAAAGGGTTAAGGTGCTGCCTATTGATGTGTATGTAAAAAAAACTGTATTTAAGCTTTGAACACTGAGGTGTTCCTCAGTGCAGTTCTGAATGTAACCATTGTTCTGCACTCCTTGCTTGCAAGTAAAACATTTAAAACTTGAGATCTCGTATTTGATTCTTTATTTGATCAGACCTTTATTTGATCTTTATTTGAATTTTTTGTGTGTTAGGAAACTGGTGTATGAACTAACAGCATTTTTTACAGTCCTAACTAACAGAGAACATTTCCTGACAAATCTGAAAGAAAATAATAATAATAATTTAAAAAACATCCTAACTTATACTCCAATACTATATTTTTGATTTCTTTTAAATAACGCTTTGGAATTGACTTTTTTTTTCATAGGCTCTGTGCTCTATAAAACTGCAGCTTTATTTCACTGACATTCCAATGGGAAAACTTGTTTTAACTGAATTATAAGGCACTGTTGGGTCTATATTCAGTCATTTATGATATTTTGGGTCAACTTTTAGTTCTATTGCTAAAGTTAAAGAGCTCTTGCCTTAAAGTCAGTGTTTTCTCAGCCACCCATTCTAACCTTTGCCTGGGTCAAATCAGTGTGTGTGTGTTGAAAAGTAAAACAAAAAAAAATCATCAAATCACTCTCTGCGAATCATCAAAAGCAAATGGACAAAGAAGGTTGTTTTGCCAGCCTGTTAACAGCATATCTGCTGCTAACACAACAATTTCCCAAATATGGGATCAATATATATATACAAATGTATTTATTTATTTTTACTTCAACATCAACCTGACCCACATGCTAATACTAACTAATAGATCACTCTAATGTGCTAACTGGTGCCTCACAGTACAAGTTGGATGTGTTAAATAATTATTATAAAGTGAAAAAACCTACAAGAGATTGATCCATGTGGTCAGTTGTATAGTGATGTTAAAGTTGTTTTATTAAAAATTTTGTATCTGAGTCCACCTCCTCTGTTGAGTGATGGTTTTTCCAGGTTGACAAAAATGGCTTCTTTTACCCCTCTCTCAAACCATCTGTCTTCCCTGGCCAAAAAAAAAACAATACTCAACAGAGGAGGTGGGCTTAGACACAAGCTATCAGCCACATACAAAGCAATTTTAGGAACAATACCCAAAAGATTCTCCTCAGCTTCACATAACGAAGAGGCAGGTGACCGAAACCTTTCAGATGAGGACCACAACGACCCATCAGACTCTTAACGACTGTTTACACTTTCCCAGGTAACCCCAAGGCCCCACCCAACAGGGTGGAGCTGAAGTAGCTTTATTCTTTCACACCCAGAGTATATATATGCTGTACTCCCCACCACCAGTTAGAGCTGAAGAAGCCTCTTGGATGAGAGGTGAAACGTCTTCTTTTAGAAAATTCACGTCCAGTTGCCTAACAGAACTTTTCAATCTTGACCATGACCTGGATGACTGAGAATCTTCATAGACATTATAGGTGGATGAAAGGTTGTGTCTCAAACCACCTCCTCTATTGAGAGATGGTTTCTCCAGATTGACGTAGATGGCTTCCTCCACCCCTCTCAAACCATATGTCTTCTCTGGCGAGGATGTATGTATGATGTACATCGTCATCCACAAAAGTGTGTCCTTTGTCCTCAAGATGTAGATGAACCGCTGAGTCCTGCTCTGAGGAGCTGGCTCTTCTGTGTTGTTGCCTACGCTTGTACAGTGGTTGTTTGGTTTCCCCAATGTAGAGGTCAGGGCAGTCCTCACTGCACTGTACTGCATATACAACGTTGCTGTTTGTGGTGAGGTATTTTGTCCTTTGGATGAACCAGTCTTTGTCTGAGGGTGTTGGTGGGTTTAAAATGTACACGGATATGGTGCTGGTCAGAAATTCTATTCTAATTCTAAGTTTTTCATTCCCACTTCCAACCTTGAGACTTTACACTCCGCCCTCATCTGAATAGGGTGTGTTCCACCACACCTCTATCCCCCCCTTTCTGCAATGACCCTCGTTACAGGTATGTAGCATCTTTGAGGCTAAATAACAGAATTTCCCAGTAGTCAGTCAGAACTGAAGAAGCCTCTTAGATGAGAGGTGAAACGTCTTCAAAAAAACAAAGAAATACTTTGTCCAGTTGCCCTCGATGTAATTATTTTTTGGATTAAATGACCTGGATGACTGAGAACCTACACAGACGTGTTGAAAAGTTATTTCCAGCATCGCAGAGATCTTTGCACCAAGGTGACACACACACTACTGTATGTATATATGTCTGTGTGTAAGCATGTGTGTGTATGTGTGCCAAGGAGTGTGTTAAACAGATTTAGTGAAAAGGCCTGCTCACACTGGTCAGGGAATTAATATGAAATGTTACATTAAATTCAAATTAAAACACTTGATGGTTTGGGTGAATTTAAAATGCACCAACAGTTGTCTGTTAGCACATTGGTTTACTCAAAGTTTAAATTTTACCAAATTGTTAGTGTGTTTAATATGCAAGGCAAAATACTAGACTAGGTTCATACATCATCATTCTAATTCTTGGTGATTCATTCACAAAGCACTCATTTATTTGTCATCTGTTGCACCAAGTTGTCTGCATTCTGGTCTGTGGTTGGGATAAAATTATACTAAAAGTTTAATCTTTATATCTTGTTGTGTGCTATGTTTTAAACTAACCCTTTTGATTTGTGCTAAGGTTAAACTGATCTAACAGTTGAGTTTTAACATGCTAACAGCTAGCTTGCTACTGTGTTAAAACAGTACCAGGTTTTCAGCATACTGGTGTTTGCTAGAAAAAATAAATTGGATTAACAGTCAGCTATAAGAATCGTAGCTTATTAGCTGTGATGCTAATGTATTTGTGAAAACAACGCCAAACAAATGCTCAGGTGCAAACATTAACCTGCATCTTCTTCTTACCAGCTCAGAGTCCTGAACCACGGCAGCTCGTACGAACGATAAACTCTGTAGCCAATGGTGATGATCTCCTGGAAACACTTGATCTGCACCATCATCACCTAAGTCATGTGACCGAAACAGGAAGCATCAGCTGACAAAGCAGCAGATTTTGTGCCAAAAGTTGTATCATATATGTTATATATTTCCAAGATATTTCTTGGAAAAGTTTTAAACTGAGGGAAGTTAACGTGGCTAGTTAACAATGAAAAAAAATCTGTGACCTACCGTTAGTATGAGAATAATGGGTCCCATGCAGATGATGAGAAAAAAAAATGAAATCATGGCCATTGACAAAACTCCACGGATCCAGTAATTCTTCCATCTATGAATAAAAAAAATAACAGTAAAATTGACCCTCTTAATAAATAATAATAAATGTGCTTAATTTATTCATGATGTTCTGTATTACATTGTAAAAAGAAAGACAGAAGCGGTCAAGTGACTAAAGGTGACTTAAGGTGCCATACAACTGTGACTAAGAAGGCGAGGCTAAGAAGGCTCATACTGTGGATTCAGGGAGGTTTGAAATGATTTGTGGACGTGGAAATGAAGTGAGTGAAGACATCACCAACTGCTGCTGATGTCTTGTCGCAACATTACTCTCTTCTTCTTTCTAAGCTCCTCCTCCTCCCTCCATCTGCCCCCCAAAATTCCTCCCCTCAGCAGGGATTAGTCTTTCACTGGGAGTGAGCCTTTAAGCCCAGTGACCTAGCTGTCGATCGCTGACCACGTCCTTTCTTTTTTTTTTCAAATCAAAACACATTTTCTTTTAAGTAGCAATCATGTTTTTCATACCACAACTCCAACATGTGACAGTATGCAAAGAAAAAGTTCATTTTTTTACATTTTGCTCTATGGAAGAATCTGGAACATTTAAATGTCAAATGTAAATTTGAAACTAAAATTGATAAACCACTGTGTCGCCATTGAGAACACGTTTGATTTTTAGCTCACAGGAATTATGACTTGGTGTGGATCGTGTTAGTTTGTAACTGTAGTGTTTTAATCTGTTTAAATTTACATTATTATATCTATATCTATGTATCTTTCATCTGACTGTAAACAGCATAGGACCACAACTAGTTACAAACATCAGTTTGTGCGTGTGTTTGTTTGTCTTTGTGTGTGTTTTCATACCTGGGTGGCAGCCCCTCTAGAGCTTTGTTCAGACACTCTGGAGTGTTGTCAGTGTCAGCTGTGGACAGAAGAACATCAGGAACATCTGTGCCCTCTGCTTTACAGTCCACATCCAAGTCTGCATCAACTTCAGCATCGGACTGAGGCCTGTGGTCCGAGTCCGCCTCCTGACATACGCACACACACAACATTTGCTGGCTTAAAAACATTATTATTTATATGATTAAAATCTTCTGAGTCTTCAGTCTCACATCCTAACCTACGTCTCCTTGCTGTGTTCACTTGTCTCCTCCCTGTTACGTCTTTAGGCTTTTGTCTTCATCCCATCACTCGCCTGCATCCATTGTGTTCCTCTGCCTGCCTCCATACTTTACCTTGCTCCAGTCACCTAACCTCTGTTTTCTGATCTTGTCTCCTTACTTTTTGTGTCCCTGTCTCCTCCTGTCTTCCCTCTCTTTACTATGCTTGTTCCACACTGACACACTTATCCTTGTCTTGTTACATAATTCCACAGTTACCTGCATCCTTCTTTTTAAAACCCCTGCATCCTTGCCTCCCAACACTTTATATCACACTTGTATTTTTTATTTCAGATTTTTTTGTGCATTTGTCTTCTCACCCACTGTATCCCTGTCTATGCTTTTCTCACCTGTTCCGACATTATTGCTTCACCTACATAACAACAAAAACAACACACATCTATATTTAGTGCTTGAAAATCAAATGCTTACTTATATTGTTTACATATACTCTCAAAGGTGATTTTCTCCTTATTTTGTTGAATCCCACTATCACCACTCACCTGTATTCTAAGCACTTACATTTATCCTTATATCCTTCCATTTTCTTACCATAATTTCTTAATTCATGATTTCTCACTCCCTCGTGTACTTGTTTTCCCTCCTCGCTTTCCTGTGCCCTTGTCTCCTACCTTGTCGCTCATGTCCTCGGCTCTTCCTCCATCGTCTCCGCCGCCTCCTCGCCTCCTTAACTCCGTCATGTTCCTCCGCTCTGTGTATGTCTGTGTTAGTGAGTGTATTAATGGGTAGGTGTGACATACACCGTATCAGGAGTTCTGGTTCAGGCCAGGTCCAGGTTCTGACCCATGTAAAACTCACTGCATCTTTTCAGTTCCGTGTTAAAACTGCAGCAGAGTCTGTGACGTTTCACTGCGTGTATTTGTTTATCACCGCAGTCCCCGTATGTCCCAATGCCGCCAACACCTGTCAGTGACGACCCATCACTTCTGGTAGACTTTCATTATAAAAGCTTGAGTTCAGAGACTTTCAGGGACGGTTGATGTGTTAATGAAATACTGACAATGACTACGCTGTAAGGCTTTATGCGCCTCCTACTGCTACATGTCTTATTTTTTATTCAGCAGATGCCTTTTACACCAAAATCAACCGAGAAAATAATGTTGTCGATCCCCCACTGCCTCCCATGGTAAGTTTGTGTTATTGTAAAACTGTTGGAGAAATTGAGTAGGGCCCCCTTACTTTATAACATTTGGTTTTATATTGGCCTGGTGCAATGTATAAACCATGTTAGTTGGTTCTGCTTTAGTTTAATTTTAAATAAATCACTTTTTTAATTTTAATTTTATTCTGAACAAAAATATTTCATGTGACATATATATACAATCGAATTGACTGGAAATTGATGAGTATTAAGATGCCAATTTATGAAACTGACTGTGCAACTTGTTTTGACTGTGACCCATTCTGCCAAGGCCAGATGGTTGGTGAAACTTGCTGTGCCTTGTGAGCTCTGCCCAGTAACAGAGCATAAACATGTTAGTCACTGGTTGAGACCCATCAAAACTAGGTGGGGCAAAAGTATAAGTAACAAAGAATGAGTAAGAAGGAGAGATCACCCAGCAGCTGGGGGTGAACCCAGCGGCCTTTGGGAACAGGAGGTCCAGCGAAGTGCACCAATCTTCTGTATCGTCTGCAGATTACTGAGCCATTTTATAACGGGTAAATATCTTGCTTCTTTTTAATACATCATTGATTACTTGAAAACATTCTTCCTGGAAAACACATGAACACATTGGCTTGGTGTCGTGGGCCACAACCGAGGTCCATGACGGAAAGAATCTAAATACATAACACGACAAATTATCAAAAACATCATACATAAAATAATATCCCACCCCCTTACAGTACCTATGCCAACACCCTAATGGTCGCGGAGCCCCTCCTGTAGACTTAAAAAACGGTTTATTTCCAAACCGTCGTTTATATTTTCCTCCAACTGTAACATTATTTTGAAGGATGAGTCCCGCCACTTCCGGTTTTTACCCTGACAAACTTGACATAAGTCTGCAGTTAATTCTCCTTCTTTCGCACTTCTCTCTCTCTCTCCCTCTCTCGTGGGCGGGCATACACTGTACGATTTTTGACGAGTAATCGTCTACGATGTACGACCAAAGCTCACGATTTATGTACTCACACTGTACGGTCCGATCATCGAACACGACCAGAGAGCTCACACTGTGCGGGTGAAAACGGCCCGTCGGCCGCTGCTGACTGTCCTGTCTATTGACAGCTGTCAATAAAGTTTTTTTGAAAGCTCCGACGCCGGTTATTAGCAACACGCTATTCGAAAAGAAGAAGGCTGCCATTACGATTGCTGCGATACTGTGCGCTGAAAATTCGAAAAAATAAGAGGCGCCGGCGCATCTGGAGTCGGAGATGGCTCAATAATAGTGACGTGTCGTTCGCGAGTTATTCGTTCAAAATGAACGAATCCAAACCGGTTAAAAATTCGACCGTGTCCTTGTCCTTTTCACTATCCTCCGGGATATTGACGATCCTGATATTAGCTCTACGGTTCCTGTTTTCAAGATCAAGGCGGTCTTGAAGAGACTTGTTCTGGACCTGCAGTAGCTTTACCGTTTTATCCGTGCTTGTGATGCGTTCGAAGTTTTCCCCAGCCAGAGTTTCTGTAGCGACGAGGCGGCCATTAAAGTTGTTAACAGTATCTCGGAGCACATCCACCGATGTTTGTAACGGTGCAACAGACGTCTGGATGAGTGCTGATAAGTCTTTGAGTAGTTCAGCTCGACGTTTTACTAGTTCCGAAACCAACTGACTCATTGATAGAGTATCCGGGCTTCTTTGCCTTGACCCGGTGTAACATTGGCATCAAAGTCATCCATAGCCATCTTGGCTAGCTTACCAGTCGTTGTAGCTGCACCGCTTTGGACTTTGAACCACTTACTTGACCGAGGATAAACTGTAACTGTGATCCGATTACTTTTCCGAAATAATTGTGGTGTTGACAAGGAAATACGATTTTAACCGGGAGACCTCTCTCACACAACTTTATCCTACATCGCCACCACCGGAAGTCCTCATACCTTTCTTTAGCGCCCCCTAGTGGCTCCCTGGAGCTTTTTCAAAAATGTATGAAAATGGAAAAAGATGGAGGGTATATTTTTTGTTTTAATATGGTTTCTGAAGGAGGATAACCATGAAAAAAACAGTCTGAACGTTTTCCAATGCTGTAAAAATGTGTATAATAAATATTAAATTTCAACATTTCTGTCAACAAAGATTTGCGTCATAGCCTGCGACGCACGTTTCAGCGTGTCGCGGTGCCAAGCAGGTGGCTGTTGTAAATGGATAGCAAAGAGAAAAAGAGAAAGATAGCTTATGAGAACAGAGGATTCAAGGAAGGATGGACCAAACAAGGCGTTATGATGTAACCAGATTTTATAATGAGTTATATAAAGTTTTGACAAGTTATCACTGAAAATCAATCTCGATTAACAGAGTGGCTCTGTCTTTCTTTCTGCAGTGGGTGCTGGCCTTTGAGATCTTCATCCCACTGGTTCTCTTCTTCATCCTCCTGGGCTTCAGGCAGAAAAAGCCTGCCATTCCCGTCAAGGAAGGTAGGCCTTCTATGGTCTACCAGTTTTTATGTAATATCCACGTCTTCTTACAGTTACCTTTTTTTTGTCCCCCTGAGTCCTAATTTAGCTTGCACCACATTTAGCAGCTGTGCAACAGGTACAGCTGGCCTCCTGTCTCAGTGTTTGGCCTGGAAGGCCAGAAGTGATGTGACTGTAATACTAGTGTCCTGGGTCAACCTAGTGTCTCTGACTGCGTCTCTGACCTTCCAGTGATCTCTAGATCTTTTATAGTTTAAATGAAATAAGTTAACAGAGATTGGCAAAGCTGGACAACTTCCACAATCCATCCATCCATTTTCATCCGCTTATCCGTTACCGGGTCGCGGGGGCAGCAGTCGCCACCCAAATCACACTGCACCGTACCAACCCCCCTGAACCTTCCTACGGGTGGTGAGTCCACTGGAAGGTACCAACCACCCTAACCGGGATTTGAACTTGCCCAGGAGGTGAACCCTGGGGTTCCACACCAATGACAGAGACATTGCCTCTGGGCCAAAGCGCCACAACTTCCACAATGTTGTGTCAAATTCGTGTATTTTTTCATATACACAAAGCACTTCCTGATGCTGAGATTTGACATTTAGAAACTGCTGTATTGTATGACAATTTTCTTACATTGAAATATATGTCAAAACATATGTCAGTATGTATACATATGTCTGTGTGTATATACGTATATATATATATATATGTGTGTGTATATATATATATATATATATAACCCTTTAGGAATGTCAACAAAACTATTACTATTTACAGTAATTCAGAAGAAAAGTCAAGTTACTAGGAGTAGTGTCACCTACCACGGTAGAGTCTATAAATCCAGACCTGTCTGTGCAACTGAATGCAGCACAGACTTTTCCCATTGCTTATCTTTCGGTTGTTTGCGATATTGATTAGGTTTTACTTTGGTAGATTTCACATTGTATACAGTATATTTGAAATATTCTTTTTTAGCTAGGTACATTAATAAAACTCTGTATCTAGTTCACGTCTTTTTCTGTAAAGACAGTGTGTGTTCTGTCATATCTCTCTGCAGCGTTAGTGTCTACAGAGCAGCTACAGAAAACCAGTGTAATTCTGTTGGAACTCAACAAGTTGTTCTTTTGTTTTTCAGACAGATTATACAGCCCCGTGGTGCGTCTGCCATTTGGATACATGCAGAATGCAGAAGCTAATTGATTTGCAGCTACAGAGGTTAGTTGACACCAACAGCTGTTACTGCTTAAATTTACCACACCAAACAGGAACTCACTGCAATCAGCCAGCCAAAGTAATCTGACTGAAAACCAGAAAACAGTTGTAACAAAGTCTCCTTGTAGCTCCAACCCTGGACGTTTCTGCTGCTGTCTATGACGCAGACCAGTGATGTCCAACCCCTGTGCCGTGGCACACCAGTGTCCCGTGAGAGATCATGAGATAGGTCCTTCTTTGTTTGTCAATGCATAGTGACAGGCAAAACAATTAAATACTCTTCCACTAGATGGCAACAGATGGTTATGAAAAGTTAAAAAAAAACAATAAGAGCTGTTGAAGATCTTTTTCTTCAATTCCTGAGTATATCAGTTCTCACTGATGTACGAATACAAAAATTAATGAATTAGTTAATTTTAACTACTCATCCTTTCTCAAGGTTGCAGTGGAAACATAAGCTAATTCCATACATACATAGTAGTTCAAGATGGTGGCGCATAGTTCAAGATGCCCTGTGCGGCAGCGGCTGCTTCAGCTCCCGGCAACACAGCCAAAACATCGCCAGATTCGCCATCTAGAACCATGTTTTCTGTAGTAATAACTAAGCGAAACTGTGCTAGAACTATATATGACCGTAAGTTTATACTAAGTTTAAGCAAGTTCGGATAGTTATACTACGTAAACTTAGAGACGCGGACCACTCTACAAAGCCTTGGTCTTCTACGTCGGTCAGACCCAGCGACCTACACAGTAGCGGAGTCCCCTACCAGCACAGCCGTCCACAGAGACATCGGATGCGGTACGAGAGGAAACAGAAGTGTGGTTGCCACGGAGGACTTACAGCCAAGCTAAAAGCTAACTCGTTCCGATCGCCGCTTCTCTCCATTCTGCTCGCCAACGTACGCTCCATAGAATGCCAACTAGATTACCTTAAGCTGGACTTAAACAACAAAAGGGAGACAAGAAACTGCTGCCTCCTCATTTTCTCTGAGACGTAGCTAAACCCTTCTGTTCCTGATAACGCCATTAGCCTGGACAGGCTAACAACATTCAGAGCCGACAGGAGCCATGCTCTCACGGGTAAAACCCGGGGGGGGCGTTTGCATCTACACAAACAACAGATGGTGTAACAACACTATCCTGATCTCCAGTCATTGTTCCATGGACATTGAGTTTATGATTGTGAAATGCAGACCCTTCAACTTGCCTCGGAAATTCAACACTGTCATCATTGCCGTGTACATTCCACCCAAGCGCTAAACACTCTCTACCGTGGCATTGTGAAGAAGGTAAGAATGTGACCTGAAGGAGCTATGTCTGCACTACAGGACTGTTGCACTGAGTGGGATATGTTTAAAGAGGCTGCAACGGACAGTCAGCACACAGATGTGGAGGAGTATGCTGCATCAGTGTCTGGCTACATCCAGTGGTGCATGGAGGAGGTCACAGCAACAAAGACAATAATAACACGGGCCAACCAGAAACCATGGATGAACAAGGAGGTGTGTACGAGACTGAGGGAACATAATACAGCCTTCAAATCTGGTGACGTGGTGGCACTCAGATCAGCGAGAGCCAATCTGAACGGTGCCATCAGGGATGCAAAGCGTGTCCACAGTCAAAAGATCCAGGGTTTCTACCATGACCCCAGCAACACCAGACAACTGTGGCAGGGAATCCAGTCTGTCACAGACTACAAAACCACACTTTCACCCTGTTCAATTTCCTGTTCAATTTCTGTGAATTAGCTCCAGCACTACTACTTATTTATTCCTGTTTACATTTATCACTTCACACTGTTTATATTTATATTTATCCCATCCTGTTACATTTGTCACTTCCATACTATTTATATTTATATTTACCTTATAGTTTATCTCAACACACTTCTGAATTATTTACATGTATATTTACCATTAGTTTATATTTAACACAATTTCTGTTCTGCACTACCTATATACATATGTATATAGACATACTTCAAGTAATTACTCATGGCCTACAAGCTGTGTACTTTGTACTGTGTACTATGGTTGCCAAGCAACGACATTTCATTGCCAGACTCACTGTGTGTTTCTTAAAACTTAAAACTTAAACTTATCTTTATTTGTCATTGTGACACAGCACAGCACAGCACACCATGCACAACGAAATTTACCCTCTGCATTTAACCCATCACCAAAGTGAACAGTGGGCAGCCGTGGTCAGTGCCCGGGGAGCAGTGCTTGAGGACGATGCCATGCTCAGTGCATCTCAGTGGTAACTAATTGTCTGTGCAATGACAATAAAGAAAGTCTAAGTCTCTAAGTCTATACATACACGTGTATATTTCTTATATATAATTCTTAATCTGATTCATTTATCACGATTAATCCTGATTAACTGAGATCAGTCAACATTTCTAGGACTCGCTCTGATTGATCTTTGAAATACGAGTACTTATTTTGTGGTTAAGTGATATTTCAGTTTTCCTACAAACAGACCTGGTGTGATAGG